CTCCGTGTGCAAGGCTTGGCACGAGGTCTTGAGCTGGCTGGCCGAGGACAAGGGCAAGGGCGGGCTCGGCTGGGACAAGACGATCGGGTCGTGGTCCGCGCTCAAGGATTGGAAGCCGGTCTGTGCGGCCCCCCTCCCCCCCCCCCCCCAGTGCTAGAGCGATGATAGTGCGCATGTGTTGCCGAGCGTCTCCTTGCGCAGTCTCCAGCTGCCAACGCGATCTTCATGCCCCTCGCCCTCCGCGCCTCCCCCGCCGCCGTATGAACCTCGGGCCTCGGAGCGCTCCTCGGCCGTCGGTCTGGTCTTGTGCATGCATGAGGAAGATCGTGATAGAATAAGTGTACAGGAATCAAGAAGCCACGCAAGGGAGGGATGGCCCTGATTGTGTTCGAACGCAGCGGAATTTCTGTGTACCTGTACTCGAGTATGTGTTTAGTGCCGGAGTGTCAGTCGGAGCGCTGTTTGTCAGCACCAGTGTGTGTGTGGGCGCCAATTCTTTGTTCACGATGGCCTCCCACCGCATCGGCGCCCTCTTTGCCGCCACCAAGCGGCGCCGCGCCGCCTCCCGGCTCCGAGACTTTGGACGTGGGTCGCTGGCAGGTCGTCATCGCCGATGGGCACGCGGTGCTGCCCGAAGGCATGACGCACCTGCCGGACCGGGCGCTCCTCGACCGCGCCTCTCTCGTCTCGGTCGCCTGCCCGAGCAGCCTCGTCTCCATCGGCAACCAGGCCTTTTACAGCTGTTCCTCCTTCATCTCCATAGACCTCCCTGCCAGCCTCACCTCCATCGGCGACTTCGCCTTCCGCGACTGCTCCGCCCTCTCCTCCGTCACCTTCCCCGCCACCCTCACCTCCATCGGCCGCAACGCCTTCGAGGGCTGCTCCGCCCTCGTCTCCGCCGCCTTCCCCGCCGGCCTCACCTCCATCGGCATCTGCGCCTTCGCCTTCTGCTCCTCCCTCGTCTCCGTCACCCTCCCCGCCGGCCTCACCTCCATCGGCAACAGCGCCTTCAACGGCTGCGAGGCCGGCGGGGAAGGTTCACCTCCATCGGCATCTTCGCCTTCTCCCGCTGCTCCGCCCTCTCCTCCGTCACCCTGCCCGCGCAGCCTCGTCTCCATCGGCGACTTCGCCTTCCGCGACTGCTCCGCCCTCACCAGCGTCACTTTCCCCGCCGGCCTCACTTCCATCGGCAACGCCGCCTTCTCTGGCTGCACCTCTCTCTCCTCCGTCACCCTCCCCGCCACCCTCACCTCCATCGGCAAGCAAGCCTTCTCCGGCTGCTCCGCCCTCGCCTCCGTCACCTTCCCCGCCGGCCTCACCTCCATCGGCGACTACGCCTTCGCCAGCTGCTCCTCGCTCGTCTCCCTCGACCTACCCGCCAGCCTCGCCTCCATCGGCAGCTTCGCCTTCCAAAGCTGCTCCGCCCTCACCAACGTCACCTTCCCCGCTGGCCTTACTACCATCGGCAGCAGCGCCTTCTCTGGTTGCACCTCTCTCTCCTCCGTCACCCTCCCCGCCGGCCTCACCTCCATCGGCAAGCACGCCTTTGCCCGATGCTCCTCCCTCGCCTCCATCACGCTGCCGCTGCCCGATGGCCTCTCGATTGGCGACGGTGCCTGCTTCGACTGCCCACTCAACGAGGAGGCGAAGGCAGCAGTGCGGGCCATCAACTTTTGGGCGGTGCGGCCTCCAATCGACGCGCAGGGGCACGCCACTTTGCCGGAGGACATCACCACCATCGGCGAGGGCGCCTTCTACTACTGCTCCACCCTCGCCCGCATCACCTTCCCCGCCGGCCTCGCCTCCATCGGCATCGGAGCCTTCTGTGGCTGCTCCGCCCTCGCCTCCGTCACCTTCCCCGCCGGCCTTACCTCCATCGGCTGGCGCGCCTTCGAGGACTGCTCCTCCCTCGCCCGCGTCACCTTCCCCGCCGGCCTCACCTCCATCGGCAAGCTCGCCTTCGCCCGCTGCTCCGCCCTCTCCCGTGTCACCTTTCCCGCCAGCCTCACCTACATCAGCAGCTGGGCCTTCGAGGGCTGCTCCTCCCTCGGCTCCGTCACCTTCCCCGCCAGCCTCACCTCCATCGACAGCAGCGCCTTCCTCAGCTGCTCCTCCCTCTCCTCCATCACCCTCCCTGCCAGCATCGCCTCCATCGGCGAGCGTGCCTTCGAAGGCTGCTCCGCCCTCACCTCCGTCGCCTTCCCTACCAGCCTCACATCCATCGGCATCAACGCCTTTTCCGGCTGCTCCTCGCTCGCCGCCATCACCTTCCCCGCCGGCCTCATATCCATCGACCACGGCGCCTTCCACAGCTGCTCCGCCCTCGCCCGCGTCACCCTCCCCGCCGGCCTCACCTCCATCGGCGACGAAGCTTTCGCCAACTGCTCCTCCCTCTCCCGCGTCACCTTCCCTGCCGGCCTCACCTCCATCGGCAGCCTCGCCTTCGACCTCTGCTCCTCCCTCACCCGCGTCACCGTGCCAGACACCGCCACGATCGGCGACGAGGCTTTCGAACCTGAGACCACCGTCCTCCGCCTCCCTCCCAAGAGGATGCGCGACCTGCAGCGCTGGTACGAGGCGGTGGCTTTTGTTCTGGCCTACAAACGCTGCCGCCCCCTCCTCTACGGCTGGCTGGAGCGGGCCCAGACCAGGCTCGGCTCTTACGGCCCAGACGGCGCGGCGCGCCAGCGCGACCTCGAGGAGTTCGAGGGCGACTTTGCGCACCTCGCGCTCCATGCAGACTGACATCTCAGGCGTGATTGAAATCGCTGTGATTACAGCTGAGTGGTGCGAGACCGAGAGTGCAAGGCGAAAATCGCGAGAACGAGACGCCTCTCAATCCCAAATTTCGGGGGCCCCGATTTTTAAAAAAAGGTGACGGACGCTTCTTCCTAGCTCCAACATAGGATATGCACTCGGCGGCACGAGGGCAAGGCTGGGCGTCCTATGTATTTGTGCTCCCCCCGGACCCCTCGCTCTCGGGCACTATCCATCTGACCACTCATCGACGGGGCTTGGCGAGCGGCCCCGCACCAAGCGGCCGCGCTGCGGGGCAGGGCTAGTGAGAATGGGCTCTGTTCATCCCGGGCGATTTTGCCCGGGCGTGTAAGATTCTTTCTTCACAAGGGTCATCACGGTGTGCTGAGCATTTTGCCCATGTCTCTAAGAAGAATCCGACGGACGAAGACGTCGCAGCCGCCCGCGACGTCATCCCGGGGCCGGCGCGCGACAAGCCCACCGGCCCGACCCCCGTGTCTGCGCCGAAGTACATCGGTGTGGAGCACAAGGGAGTGGCGGCGATGCTCGGGACCGATGATATCAACGCGCAGACGGGCGACACGGTCGAGCAGCAGCTCTCCTCGCCCCCCCGACGCGAACCTGCCCGCCGGCGTCGACCCCCTCTCCGCCACGGGTTGGGCACCGCGGCCGTCGTCGGCGCCGCCAGTCGTCGACGACGGCGCCCTCGGCCAGGCCGACGGCCTCGAGAACTCGGTGCTGGCTCTGCTGGCGGCCCAGCTCCAGGCGCAGCGGGGAAGGGGAGGCCCAACAGCAGCACGCCTGGCACCTCGCCGCACGCCCACACACAAACCACGCTTCCACACCCCACACTCACGCCCGCTATGATCGACACGTGACGATGGTAAATTGCAGGCGGAGCGGCAGCGCGCCGCCGCCGCTGAGGCCAAGCTGAGCAAGGCCCTCGAGTCCACCCAAGCCATGGCGGTGCGCTCTGCCATCGCCGAGACGAAGCTCGAGGCGGCCCTCGCGTCCAACGCCGCCCTCGAGGCGGCCAACGCGGCGCTCCAAAAGTAGGCGAGGGTGGGATCCGCGGCCGACTCCGATCCAGAGTGTCTCTTGAGCAGCCGTGGAGCCGGCAACGCGCTCCGGCGACACATACACCGGTCCGCGCCCCCGTGCCCCGCGGTGTGCTCCGTCTCTCTCGTCTGCGGAGTAGGCTGCCCCGCCTCTTCCACTTCCCCTTTCCCGACACCATCCACAGACGGCTTTAGATCTAGAGGGTACCCCCGAGGGCGAGGCGAACCAAAATGCAGAGTATTACGGCCGCACGTGTGTCCTTCCAATTTTTCTGTTTTAGGTATGTTGTTGGCAAATCAAGACACAGAGCTCACACAAGATCACAGACAGCGAATGCTTGGAAGTTGACATTTAATACCTCCTCGGATAAGTTCTTTTGCGTGGTTCCCCACCTCGCAGTGATCTCCGAAGGCATGGAGAATCCACACACATCCAACGACCGAGGCCTGCAACAGCGATCCGTATTCGTACCCAAAGCCTTGGACGTGTGTCATCGATCAGTGCGACCGCAAGCTGTGTAACTATAGCGGCTTTTTGTCACGACTCTGGCTGGCCATAGGTCGGCGATCCCGTGGCACCGTATCGCCGAGTTCCAGCGATACAGTCTCAAGGCGCCGAGCCCCTCAGCCGCTTCCTTCCCCCAGCACCGCCCACCCCGCACCACCTCCGCAGAAGGCTCGATTTAGAGGGGTTCAGCTCCAGGGCACATTGGGGGTTGACCCCTTTGCGTCTGAGCCGTCTCCCCGCCTTTGCCCCACTCTACAGCTGCTCTCCGAGCAGATCCTGCTCGCCAGCCCTGAGTATAAGCACACCCACCGCTCGCTGCCGCTCTGCTTCCCGCACGAACTCACCATCGAACGGCGTGGCCTCTTAGATGCGAAGAAAACGCGGAGGGACAGCTGAGATACAGCAGAGCTGACCCTTGAGCTCACTCTACCTGTGTGGCGGCACGCACCCTCGACTATCCCAGCCGCTGTGTCTTGACCTCGCAGGCTCGAGCTGCGCGCACCGCTGCGCCTTCGCTTCTGCCCCTCCAACCCAGCCGCACAGTCCATCGCGCAAGAGCTCGCCGCGTACTTCCCTGCCCTCAGCGTCGCACCGCTAGCACCGGGCTCCACCGCCCCGCCCCTCGCTGCGGCGGCGGCCGCCGCCGCCGTTGCCGTTGCCTCTGGCGGCGCACCCGGCGATGATCGCGTCGTGCCCAGCGGGCTGTACACGACGTCATGAGTCACACGTCTCGACGGTGCTGCGATCATGCCAGGCTGGACCTCGCAATAGGAGCCGCGCGAGGACGTACGACGCGTGGCGCGCACAGTGTAAATTCTTTTGCACCACGGTGCTCGCGGATTCGACCATCCGCCTTCTGACTGCGAATCCGACGACGGCTTCTGTGAGGACGACGGCTTCTATTATTAGAAGCCGTCGTCCGCGCTTTGCCTGTACGGGCGCATGGAGACGTGATGCCTCCATGCGCCCGTCGAGTCAAAATCGACATGCGAGGCGATCTTTGGCCCGCCAGAGGGATAGGCGGCGTTTTGGGCGAGAAACAGCGCTGCGACCGCGAAGTGGCGGTGGACATGCTCCCATGTTGCCGACGCGGCGCCGGAGTGGCCGGCGCTGCTCGCCGCGACCACGACGGCTACTCCGATGCGCCGGGCCGACCCGTCCTACCCGACGGTGGCACTCTTCCACGTCTCGCTCACGCTGAGAAAAGTTCTGAAACGGCGTGCAGCAGAGTCGCCGACGAGTCGGTGCGCGTGCCTCCTCGTGTCGCGTACCGTTCTCACCCATCCATAAACTCACTTTGGCCTCACTAAAGCGAAGGCTGAATCCTCAATCCTCAGATTTTAGTTTAGGACGCTGTGGGCCCTCTAGTAGTGTGAACTAGTGTTTCATAGGAGATAGCGAGTAGGCGAGTAGACGGAGTACGCTTTGTCCGAGTGGTCGAGTGCACGTAGCTACGACCGAAAAGAACACAAGTAGGGGGAACCGTTTTTTTAAGCCGTCACTCGGCGTCTAGGCGACTCACCGCAATGACATGCACATGCGCATACGCCGCCGCAGGCTCACTTAATCCGCGAGTAGGCGTAGCTGCCCGCCAAGGACAGGACGGCGCCGAAGACGGAGACGAAGCCGTGCGAATCGCCTAGCATGACGATGCCATACGCGATGACGATCATCTTGGTGAACGAGCCGAGCACCATGAACGAGGTGGCGGTCACGAGGCGCTGCAGCCACAGGCCCGCGTACGAGATGAGGCAGCCGACGACGCACGACGCGACCAAGGAGATGCCGGTCCCCCGCTTGAATTTGAGGGCGTGGTACAAGGAGTGCATCTCCTGGGGCGACGCGATGATGAGGACGAGCAGGCTGAAGAGGGCGCCCAGGCCATTGTTGAGGATCATAAGCGCAGGCTTGCTGACGTCGACCTCGCGCACGGCGAGGAGGTGGCGCTGCATCATGCGCTCCGCGCACGAGCTGCCGAGGTTGGCGATCAGGAAGATCAAGCCCACCCCCGAGAATCGGATCTCCGAGAATCGGATCTCCTTGGCCTCGTAGATAAAGACGCCGACCGCGATCGCGCCGGTGGCGCCGGCCGATCGCCAGTCGAAGGTAAGCGTCTCCGGCTTGTGCATGACCGACTCGATCAGCAGCGTGACGATTGGGCCCAGGTTGCGCACCACCACGAACGTACCCACCGTCACGTACTGCAGCGCGATCATCGACGTCACCATCATGAGCGCAAAGAGCGGCGGCACGGCCAGCGCCCACAGCCTCCAGCCGTTGCCGAAGTGGACGTTTTTGGAGCCAGCGGCCATGCCGACCGTCGCGAGCATCTGCACGATCACCACGGCGATCGGCGCGTGCGACCGGCCGACGGCGACCTTGTTGAGCAGCGTCATGGAGATGGAGCACGTCGCCCACGAGGCGGCGGCCATCGCGATCTCGGACGCGCCCATGGCGGAACGCAGGGCCTCGAAGCGCGACTCGGGCTTCCCCTCCTCTTCGGCGATCTGCATGGGCTGGTACTTTTCCTTCTTCTCGCGGAGCTCTCCCATCGTGCCCCGCAGCGAAGAGAGTGTGCGATGGATGTCAAGAGGGGCCGGGGCATGAGGCGCCGTCCCAGCTTTCTGTGAATGGCTTATCGGGACTACCTGCGAGCGGCTGCAGGTGGCCGGAGGTGGTGAAAACCAGGCCCGTCGGGATGACAGGCCTATTCGTACAATAGGGCTCCGCTCCACACCGCCAATGCAAACCGGTGGGAGCCATTACTTACTTAAATCTATTTTTAAAGAGCAGGGGGAAATGGTTTCCAGGGAGGGGGGGGGGTTTTTTTGAAGGCCCCCCCCCCCCCCCCTAGCATGTGGTGAAGCCTCTGGGGGGGTCGGGACCCCCGCCCCTAGCATGTGGTGAAGCCTCTGGGGGGGTCGGGACCCCCCCCCTAGCATGTGGTGGGCACCCCCCAGCGGTTCGTGGGCTAGGAATAGCCGCCCCCAAAGTTGTGAAATCGTGGCTAAAAGTCCAATATCATTGAGGGTTTTTTTTTGATGTGGTCTATTGCTCACGGAACCCGCCGCCCCCTCACCACCCCTACCATGCGATGCCCCCTCGGCCTCGCACCGCCTGCCTACTCCCGCTCGCAGGTACAGCCGCTGCCATGGAGGAGGCCGCGAGACGCGTCCGCTGCTGCATCATGTTCTTCCTGCTCGCCCTCGCGGGCGCCCACGCCGCAGCAAAGGGGCAATTTCCCGAGTGGCGCTTTCAGGGACGTGATGTGGTGGTGAAGATCCCAAGAGATTCGGTGCGCCCTTCAACTCAGCTCAAGTAGACTCAGACACTCCGTGTGATCTCACATACACCATTCGTGTGCTGAACAGTTCCACGAGCCTCAATCGGCCGCGTGCGAAGCTGCTGCCGCTGCTGCCGCCGCTAAGAACTCCTCTCCCGCACCGGTCCTCATCATCGACGCGCCATCGTGGTTTTGCACGTCCGATTCTGTCGGCAATCATTTGCCACTATACTTCACCCTTCGAGCCTTGGCCTTGCTGCATGGCATCGGATTCCAGATGCAGCCGACGTGTGGCCCTATCATCCGGGACACGCCCAAATACATCACCGGTTGGTTGCCTCAAAGTGCTTCTCCGAACTGGCCGCCCGAGGTCCCTCGTGACCCCGGCACGATCATGCGGGAAATAGAAGGAACCTGCAAATGTCGCACGATCATCACGCATGCTTGCACTTACGGTTGGCCGTTATTTGCCGCCGTTTGGGGTCGCGAGATCCGAGCCGCAGCCGAGCGCTATTCGGTTGCAATAAGGGGGTGTTGGCAAGCAACGGCTCAAAGACGCAGAAGTACACGTATGACCTCGATGATGCCGTCACCCACTTTCGCTGTGGGGACATTATGGAAATGGATGCGTCACGGGGCCCGCTCAATTCTGGGTTTGTGCCATTGAGTGTGCTTCTTCGCTACCTGCGCCCACTTGCCCCGCGTTCGGTGGGCATTGTCACAACACCGCTCGTTGAGAAGTGCAGCAGCAAACTCGAGACCCGAGCCATGGACTGCAAGCACGGCAAGCAGTGCCACGACATCCTTGAAGTGCTCCTCCCCGCACTCCAAAGCGGGCTGACCGGCCCGAGGAAGATGCACGGCCCAAGGGTCAGAATCCATGACAAGGACACGACGGTGGGGGCGATGTCGCGCATCGCCCTCGCTCAACTCTCCATCTGCCCACCTAGCACCTTTTGTGTATGGCCGGCTCTTGGGGCAGTGGAGGGGGTGCTCACTGGCGTTGGGGGTGGGCACAGTATTGCACTTGAGCCAGGCAAGCGGGCCGCCGCTGCACTTGGAGAAGGGCATCTGCATGTGCACGCACTCCACGGTTCAAACGCCAGTATATTGTCAATCAAGCGCATCAAAGAGGCACAAATGTCGCCACAGCAAATTGGACAATTCCTGGTTGAGCACTAGTAGTATGTTGTTGACACGGTGGCGTTCTACCCGGCTCCGGAGCATCGTGAGGTCAGCTTGCGCCTCGTTCTAACAGGCATGGTAGCCGTGCCTTGCGATGCGGGACCGCTCCGGCGGTGGTGGCAGCTCCTCCGCCGCCGCATCGCGGTGGCGCGCCTCGTGCGGCGCGGCGCCCCGCCGAGCCGCAGCAAATAGCGCCACTTTCGTAGAATAGTGCTTGCGTGTTGGCTGTTGCGTCGAGGCTTGGGTGCCGAGGAAATCGGCGGCGACAGGCAGGCACCTTAATCCCGTCCTTATTTTCTGCTCAAGAAGAAGGCCTGTGAACACAACACCCGGTGCAGCCTCGAGTCGGCGTCTATGTGAAACAGGATTTTGGTATAACAAAAAACAGGATCACACGGGACGACCCAATGGTCGTCAGCGGAGCTTGGCGAGAGGCTGACCTAGCAAACGGGAGTCATCCGCCCGCCACCGCGCTCGACGCCGCTCGCACGCGCTCCCTCTTCCGCCTGATCCACCTGCCAAAGACGGGCGGCACGAGCGTGGAGACCCTGCTCTCGCTCGGCCACCAGCCGCACCGCCGGCTATCCAAGCTCGCCTGGTGGTGTGGAGCGCTGGACGCCTCGCCATCGATACGCGCCGCCGGCTGCAGCAGCGGCGTCGGCCGCTCCTCATCGCCGTTCCTGCTCCCGCACGGTGCAGGCCGTCCGGCCACCCCGCTGCTGGTGGTGCTCCTCCGCCACCCGACCGAGCGGGTGCTCTCGCAGTACTACTTTTTCCGCGGCTGGCACACCCACGTCGGCTTGCTCTGTGACCGCCACCCGCCTCGCGACACACTCTGCGCCGCGCCGGAGGCGCGAGTGCGCTGTGGCCAACCTCAGACGGAGAAATCGAGCGTAGACGCATTGTTTAGCGTATCGATGGGCGCAGGCGGTCGTCTCTCTCGGAGACGTCGCGCGCGCGCAGGCGGAGAGCCTCAGCGGCGAGGAGAGGCTGCGTCGCGAGGCGGCCGCCGAGACGTGGCGCAACGAACTCCCGGGCAGGGCGGCGGCGCGGCGGCAGGCGGCGGCCGCCGCGGCCGCGGAGGCTGCGGGGGACGGAGGCTTCGGGACGGCGCTTCTTCTTCCCGCCCGGCTCGCCGCGCTGTCCTCCCTGGTTGGCGGTGGCCCTCCTCCCCGAGACAGCTGAATGGCATGCACGCACACTGATAGGCCTGCTGGGCGCGTCGCTGCGTCCCGCGTGCGAGCTGCCTCTCGCGGGTGAGAGGTGAGAGTACGCATCTCTATAGGCTCGTGGCGCCGTCCTTTCTGTGGGAGCTGGCTCCAAACCTGCAGCTGCGGCTCCTCGACGCATCACCGCACGCTGGCGGCGCGAGTGCCTTGCCTCAGGGCGCGGCGGCAGCTTCCGGCGTCGGCATGTGCGCCAGCTGGCGCGGGCGGTGATTACCCGGGATGACCCGAGACGACCCGAGATTAGGCGTCGGCATGCGCCAGCTGGCGCGGCGGCTCCGGCTCGCGGAGGTGTGTGCGCACGATCTCGGCTATATCTCGGGCTGGCGAGGCACTCCCACGTCTCTCACGGGGTCCCCCCCTTGCCCCCGGGGAGGGGGGGTGGGGGGGGGCGAGGGAACCCGAGCTTCGGCGCGGCAGCGTTCAGCTGTTCCCACTGACAGCAGGCTGGAAGTACCTCGCCAGATCTCGGGGGGAGGGGGGGAGGGGGGGGGAGGTGGTGTCACTCCTCAACAGCACAGGCTGGAAGTACCTCGCCAGATCTCGGGTGTGTGTGTGTCTGACTCTCAGCGGTAGAACATCTCGGATGGACCTCGGGGCCAGGGTGTAGGGGGAGGTAGAAGCATGCTCAGTGTGCGCCACCCCACCGCCCCAGCGCTGCCTGCTGCCAGGCGTTTCTGGCGGACAACGCCGACGTCGTCGGGACGACGGACCAGGTCTGCTCACCCACCGCGCACTTGGGCCTTGCACTTTGAGTGTGCCGTGCCGGCTCCTGCCCGCGGGTGTGGAGACGCGAGCGTCGCCCCACTTTGTGGTGTGTGGAGACGTTTCCCTTCCCTCCCCTTCCCCCCACCAGCTCGACGATGTCATTGTTACCCTCTGCCACCTTGCCGGCGCTTCGGCCGCCGGAGTCGCGGCGGCTGCGGCCGCCGCCAGCGCATCCCCGGCCGCCGCCGCCAACGGCACCGCTTGGGCGCGTCGGCTGGCGAGGGGCAACGTGCTGCCTCGGTGCGCGCACGCCTCGCCGCGCTCCCAGTAGCGCAGACCTGTAGGCAGCCTAGTTTCAATCCAAGCGACCGCGGACCCCCACACACATCTGTGCCACACACATCACTCCCAGAGCGCCACACACGCAGCCACTCTTCCGGCAGGAAACGTGGCCAGAGTGGTGCTCTTGGGAAGAGGTTCCTCCTTTCCACTCCCCCCGCAAGGCGCGAGACACACACACACCAGTTGGCAGTTGAACGAATCCATACTAAACCAGTTGTCGGAGTTGGGGAATTGCCTGCTACCCAGGTACCCGAGATTGCCCGAGATTACCCGAGATTACCCGAGATTGCCCGAGATTGCCCGAGATTGCCCGAGACTCCCCCGCGAGACTGCCACGCAGGTACCCGCGCCGCGCGGAGCTCGCCGCAGAGGCACGCGGCTGGCGGCTAGGAGATTACCCGAGATTACCCGAGATTGCCCGAGATTGCCCGAGATGACCCGAGACTACCCCAGATTACCCGAGATGACCCGAGATTACCCGAGATAACCCGAGACTGCCCGAGATTT